CCCCCCCCCCCCCCCCCCCTCCCCCCCCCCCCCCCCCTCTCTCTCTCTCTCTCTCTCTCTCTCTCTCTCTCTCTCTCTCTTCCTGACATTTATTTGCCACCTATTTCACTGTGGAGCTACTTGAGGCGGCTTATTTTGCAAGCCAAAATAAAATACAGGTAGAGTTCATATCATATGTGAATCATAATAATAAATAGAGACACTGAAATGGAGCTTCTGAAGCCTCCCAAATATTTACCAGTAAATATAAACTAAATTTCCACGCTGAAATGCATGGAGAAGCACTAATACCGTACTGAATCTGTAACTCACATACAGTATATGCAATTCATCTCCCACTTCCTAAAGGTTCACTATTTGATCTATTAACCACTAGGTGGCTGCAAAGTGTAAGAGATGACTGCTATTGGAGGGAAGAGTTTAGTTCTGGGAATTAGTTTGGGAGTGACAAACTAGCTTAAGGACATTATATGAAGAGCAGCAGCATTGGGAAAGGAATTTCCCTCCAGGCAGGATACAGGCTTACAAGAGAAAATACCTATCAGTTACACTTTCAGTTGTATTAGCTAAGCCATTATGGACTGGTCAGTTTCAAGGCACTCTCTGGGTCAGTGTATCTCAACTTTAGTAACTGTGGACTTCAACTCCCAGAATTCCCCAGTCAGCAAGATTAAAATTGCTAAAGTCTCTGAATTTTGATCATGTGACCATGGGGATGCTGCAACGGTCGTACATTTGAAAAGCAGTCATAAGTCACTTTTTTTACTGCTGCTGTAACTTCAAATGGTCACTAAACAAATGGTTGTAAATCAAGGACTACCTGCATTTTCCATATAATGTAATGTTTCTATCACATTAGAAATTACAATGCAGTAATTTGGAGGTGTTTGGGATTGCAATCAAAATTTGTGGATGTCCCTTTGGGTTGTTGATGATTGCTATGCTGTATCTGGCTAGGACGGTGAATGCAGTGGGCTGAATCCTTGAATGCAGGAATGTAAGCCATCTTCAGGAGAAATCTTTAAGAAATGTATGGCATTATTGTTCCCCAGTCTTGTTTTCTCTGAGAAGATGTTCAATCAATCAGCTCTTTAATTGCAGTCATGCCACCAGCATAAGAATAAATGGGATACAAACAATATTTTTTTAAAAAGCTAAAAAGTATAAAAAGAAAACTTGCACAAAAATCATATACTTAAAAAAAGCTGAAAGATACCCATAAAAAGCAAGAGTCTAAAAAAAGTTCTATCAGCAAAAAGAAATACATTAAATAAATGCAGGGGAACATCAAACATTAATATGTTGGTAACTAAATCTATCACAGTACGAAACACTCTTAACCAGGGGTCTGCAACCTTGACAACTTTAAGACTTGTGGACTTCAGCTCTCAGAATTCCTCAGCCAGCATAGCAAGTCTTAAAAGTTGTCAAGATTGCAAACCCCTGCCCTTAACGATCAAATTAAATGCTCATTAAGGCTGGCTGGGGAACAGAGGCTTGACGATTTTAAATCGCTATTGAGCAGAACCTGGCAACACAAATGTTATAGCAGCATTAGCATCTGCAAGCAGCAGGGAGGTATAAAATTGTCCTGGGATCAATCAAATGATGGTGTTCAATTTAAGTCAGACCTGAATTTTCTCTTCCCTTCAGGACCAGCTGAAAGCATCTCTGGAGCCTCTTGAGGAAGATCTCAGAAGGTTGAAACAGAGTCAGTGTCACCAGCAGGAGAACATTATCGAATTAAAGGTGCAGCTGGGAAGTGGTGCTGATCGGACTTTCTGTTTAACGTTAAACTGAGTGTATCTTCTCTCTCTTTATCCCAGCAACCATTGCTGTCAATGCTACCATTTGTAGCTCAGTGGTTTAATATTAGGTGTGGGATGCTCAGCATTTAATCCAGGCTCCTGCAATTCAGTCTAAAGAAAAGAAAAGCTACCTGCTTGCTTGATTGACATTGAGAGCAACAAAAAATAAATACAAATGTTGTAGTCTGGCATTCAAGTGGCCAAAGTTATCAGCCATGTATTTTTCAGGATATTCTATTCTGTTCCCTTTTCCCCTGGGATTCTCAATTTAGTTTTAAACACTTTGAAGCGTTGTGATGCTCTAAGCTACTACGAAAGACACTCTTATAATTAGAACTTTGTGTACTGATATTTGTAGCTCAGGGCTGAAATGAGGGCTCCTTGGTGCTTTCTGAGCTTGGTTGTTTTCTTGCAGATGTTTCACTACTCAACTAGGTAACATCATCAGTGCTAGAAGGGAGTGGGCTTTGCACTCTCTTCTAGCACTGATGATATTACCTAGTTTGGTAATGAAATATCTTCAAGAAAACCAATCAAGCTCAGGGTGCACCAAGAACCCTACAGAGCTTTGTGTGTGTGTGTGTGTGTGTGTGTACATAAATAAATGGAACCTTGTGTATATATACATATATGTGTATATGTGTGTTGTCACTAACAGAGGCAAAAGATTTAAATTGCTAGTGTTGCTTAGGTAATCATCATTGTGGCATCGATTGATTGATTGATTATGAGTTACCTGACAGTGAAATGGTTGCATATAAATTTAATAAACGAAATAAATTATACACTATCAAGTAGTTTTCAACTCCTAGCAAAGCAGAGTTTCTCCATGACGATTTATCCCAAACCTGGTTTTTCAGATCTTCCAATGGTGGCCCCATTGCCACTGTAACTATGTCCACCATCTTGGCTTTTGTTCTTCCTCATCTTCTCTTTCTTTCCATCTTTCCTAGTATTAGAGCCTCCTTCAGAAAGTCCAGTCTTTGCATCGCATGCCTGAAGTAGTATGTTTGAGTCATTAGTGCTTCAAATAAGAACTCAAATGAGTTGACTTGTTTAAAGGTCCATTGGATTTTTTTTTTCCATGGCTACCCAAGTTATTCTCTGGAGTCTTCTCTAAAACCAACACCATTGTAACCGGTGATCATTTCCGTTTGACCAAACCACAATCTTTTGCTGTGCCCCATTTATGTTTTTCCAGACGTGTTCCGAATCCTTGTCTGATCATGTCTCTGGAGAGTTTGTGAAGATGCACCAGCTGCTGAACGACAGGGAGCTGGGTATAAAGCAGGCCTTAGAAAACCAGCGAGAAAAGAACTTGGCTCAGATGGAAACCAAGTTAAAGGAACTGGACTGGAAGATGGCCTCATGTTCAGAAACTCTGTGTTGCATACAGGCCGGCCTTGAGTGCAAAGATCACATAAGTTTCCTTAAGGTAAGGAGGACCGTGGGCTGTGGGGTTTTCTTGGGAAGAAAAAAAAATGCTGAATGCACGGATTTGTACCAAACAATTGTCAGAAGAATAATCTGGGGGGTTCCAACTCAAGCCGGGGTTGCAATGTAAATTATTGTAAATAAAAATGAGTTCCAGACAACTATGAGGAAAGAATAAATATTTATTCTTAAAAGCAAAAGAAGGGGCAGGCTACCGAGAAATGGGGTACAGTGGCAAACCTTTATAGGGGGAGCTTGTCCAGGATGTATCATGAAATTGGGATAAATGTCCCCACTTCTCTCCACCTCCCGCATGCCCATGATGGTGAATAAAAAAACAGAAAACAACAAAAAGAAAACACAGCTCTGAATTAGAATAGAATAGGGCTGGAAGGGACCTTGGAGGTCTTCTAGTCCAGCCCCCTGCTCAAGAAGTAGAACCTATACCATTTCAGATAAGTGACTATCTAGTCCAGTGGTTCTCAACCTTTTTAATGCCGTGACCCCCAACCGGTCGTAAGTCGAGGACTAAACCGGTCGTAAGTCGAGGACTAAACCGGTCGTAAGTCGAGGACTAAACTGGTCATAAGTCGAGGACTACCCAACCAGTCATAAGTCGAGGACTTTCCCTGCCCGGGACCGCCGCGCATGTGTGGATCCGCCCCCGGCACCAGCCGAGGCGTAGCTGGCAAGCGGCAGAGACTGAGCAGGCCGACCACCAGCTAGCCCAGCTCAAGGGAGGTAAGGCACCCGCCGGAAAAGGGGAAAAAAATGGCAGACAGCCTTGCTTGGCGACCCCCGTGAAATGGTCGATCGACCCCAAATGGGGTCGCGACCCATAGGTTGAGAACCGCTGATCTAGTCTCTTGTGGAAGTGTCTATGTGCTGAGGTATGTGTGTGTTTGTGTGTGTGTATGCTTGTGAACATACAGTTCTTCTGGGAGACTTAATTTAATTAACTATTTGTGTTTGCAGACCTTATCTTCTGATATGTGGATTAGGTCTAGGTAACTTATTTGGGGGTTGAGGAAGTTTGCTAGTTGGATTAACTTGGGGACACTGATTCTCAGACCATTGTGGATTCTGTTAATATTTTAAGGGAAGATGGAAACAGTATAAAGAATAAAATATATTTGGATATAAATCTTCTCACATCAGTGTTTGTTCAATTAGTGTTTGTCACGACTGATAAAATCTCTGTTTTTTCTTCATCTTCGTAAGCCACCCGAAATCACTGAGAGTGAGTTGGGTGGCCAAATACATTTTCTTAAACAAATAAAATAAGCAAGACTGATTTTCTATAACAATTGCTTGATTCCATAGTGTTTGTTCACCTAAAAGTGAGATCTATCAGTACATGCGCCTTCATCACCTCAGATTGTCAGTGGCATATCAAGCACTGTGATTCTGCAGCAGGCATGCCAAACACACGGCCCGCAGGCCGGATGCGGCTCACACAGGCCACGCCCTCAAGGGCAAAACAAATCCTGATACATCACGATACGGCCCGCGTTGCGATCGGGTTTGACAACCCTGCTCTACAGTCCTCAGTTTTTGTTTCTTCTTTCTATGTTGTGATAGTATTTCATTGGGATTATTTTTTTTTTTTGATAATAAACTAGAGCAGGATCTACTGAGAGCAGAATCTGTTGTGTACCATTAAAATGCAGGACGCGTTGACAGGAAAGTGGGTGATAACCCACTGACAGAATTATTTTGACGGTTCTCTCACTTTTCTTTCTTTCCTTCCTTCTCTCTCTCCCTCCTTCCCTCCCATAGGAGGCAAAAGAGTTGCTAGAGAGGTAAGTGGTGTTTCTCGTTTCTTATACAGTAGTTGTTGAGTTACAGCCACAGTTAGGACCAAAATTTCCACTGATAAGGAAGGTGGCTGTTAAAACGTCACCCCTGATTTTATGATCTTTTTTTTTGCCACGGTTGTTAAGTGAACCACTGCGGTCGTTAAGCGAATCCAGCCTCCCCCATTGAGTTTGCTTGCTCCAAGCCAGTTTGGAAGGTCGCAAATGGCAGTCATGTGACTCCCAAACACGGCAACTATCGTAAACGCATGCTGGTTGCCAAGCACCTGTACTTTGATCACAACCATCTGGATGGTACAACGTTTGTAAAAGTGAGGGCTGGTTGCAAATCACTCTTTTCAAAGGTCTCTCAATGAATGGCTGTTAAGTGGAAGATTACCTACATAATAAATATATGAAAGGAAGAAAAGGATGAATCAGCAGGGAGGGCTGACCCTGCAGGCTACATCAGTGTGCCTGCAAAGACAAATATGCATGGGGAGGGCTTGCCAGCCTAGTAGAAAAAGGGTAGCTGGACTTCCTCTTCCACCTTTCAGAAGCTGCTGGATTTGCCAAAATGAGTAGGTGAAGCTCCTCCATGAATGGAAGTGAAGGTGGTTACTTACTTACTTCCATTGAAAAGCTCTGCTAAATTATAAAGTTGGGTCCTCTTCCTTCTTGGGAGCAGAGGCAAAGCAAGGTTGATTTGGCCAAAGAGTTTAATGAGTTCATTGTTCTTCTGGCCCAAATCACTTCTAAAATCTCTGTAAAACTACAAAAGAAAAAGTGGAGATTTCCTTGAGTGAGTCTTCACTTTTGATGATGACCTGGACATTTTCTTGGCAACAGTATGGCCATCACCTTCTCCTGTTTTTTGTAGCTTCTCTGGGAAATATTAATCGGATCTGAACCTTCTTAACTTTTTTGGAAATGATCCTATGTTGGCTTTGTTCTGTTCTATGCTGTGATTATTAAAAAATGCATGGATGCTTCTAATAAAACCTGATTTATAGAGCAGAAGACAGATCCAGATGTAATTGTCTTCCAATTCTAATCTTCCCATTTTCAGCTAATATTTTCCATGCTATTTTTCCTTATTGCATAAACTCCACTAAATAGGTAAAAGAAAAAATGGCAATATCATTTTTTTTTGACCAGTAGTACTCAGGTATTTCTCTGTAGATGGACCCAGATGTGATTCCTCTAGGTTTGATAGAATTGAGGCAGGTTATTCTAAAGTGGTTGACTCTTGGGATGCTGTTCTTCTACAGGGTCCGTAAGGAACAAGGAGCTCATGATGAACCTGAACTAGATGCCGAATTCGTAGGAGAAGATGGGCTGGGGGCCAGCAGTGAAGACACAGATGAGTGTGAGAATGAGATTGATGAAGGGTTGATGAGAGAGGATGAAGACGAGGAGGAAGAAGAGGAGGAAGAAGAAGAGGAGGAGGAGGAGGAAGAAGAAGAGGATGAACAAGAGGACGAACAAGAGGCTGCAGCAGGAGAAGAGGAGAAGGAAGAAGATGAAGATGGAGTGGTGGCTGTAGACTTGAACCTGGGCGAGTTTAAAGGACCTCTGCAATTCTACGCCTGGAAGCAGCTCCTGGGTGCAGTCCATCCAGGTGAGATGATGTTTTTAGACCAAATGAATTGGTACTGATGTATTACTTTTACACCCTACCTTAAAGGGTCTTTGATGCTCTCTGAGCTTGGTTGTTTTCTTGCAGATATTTAATTACCCAACCTAGGTAACATCATCAGCGCTAGTTTGAGTTATGGAATGTCTGCAAGAAAACAAGCAAGCTCAGAGAGCACCAAGGACCCCTCATTTCAACCCTGAGCTACAAATATTCTCCTTTATTGACCCCTTACCTTTTATCTGGAAGTTCAAGGCTATGTACCTCCACAGCAATAACCCTGTAACGTGATGATGTTGATGATGTTATCCATTCTGTGGGCCAGATCTCTCCACATCTTCTGTGGGCCAGATCTCTCCACATCTTGCAGTACTTCTTTTGAGTTGTTCTGTGCTCTGGCTGGTGTCAGCTTTTTTTTTTTTAATAAGCCAATCTTTCCTCCTGTAATTCATGTTACCTTCAGATGTTCTAGCAAAGAAGATAAAATTGAAGCGCTCCTAGGTAATACACTCTTTTCAGATGATCAAGCCTCTGAACATTCAATGCAGTTTTTTTGAGGAACTTACATATTTTAACATTAAGCCTGAGATGGATTATAACTTGTCTTTAAAAGAATCACTCAGGTTTAAGCTGAGCAACACCAGTTATAAGCAAGCTTTTTATTTTTGCACTGTAGCGTAGCCTGTGAGACCATGAATGGGCCGTGCACTAGTTCAAAGGCAGTGCTCTTGCTGGTGACAGCTTTGATGGTGTCCAGCCATTGTGTTTGTCAGGAATCCTTACCACACCCCTGGCTCCAAGAAGACACGGGTCGGTGAGTTCACAGGTGGCTGGATTTAATCACGGAACTTCTGGCATGCGTTTAGTCATATAAACAACCAGCAAAGTCAGCGCTGGGAGCAATTGCTTACATATACGTTCCCCAGCCGGGCCCCACCCCCCACCCACCTAGCCAGCATCCGGTATACGAGGTGATAAGAGTAGCCAGGCAGAATGCGCTGCAGGCTCCCAGCCCTGTGAGGTTCCCTGAGCCGATCAGCTGCTTGTCAGGCCATGCTGCAGGCCTCTGGTGTCCTGTTGCTTCCCTGCGCCGAACAGCTGTTTGGTGGGCTGGCCGCGGAGCCGGTCAGCTGTTCGGCGGGACAACCGCAGAGCCGACAGCCACGCTGCCACACTCTGCCCATCGACAGTCCAGGTAACGGGAGAGGGAAAGGCTGTCGCCATTGGTTGCTGGCCTCCTCCGCCGAACCAGGACGCCCCAGACACTGTTCTCGCCCGCTCCCGTCAGTGTCGAGCCCACAGAGGCTTGACAGTGTTCTTTGGCAGGCTGGTTTCCTTTTACCACTAACTCTTCAAACATAATTGCTTAATTGCTGTAATTACCCTATAATATATAATTACCCTGTAATGTAGTTTGGACTAAAACAGAGAAAGGAAGCTTCAGAAATGTTGTAGATGGTAGTAGCTCTATTAAAAGATTGCTAATATACATTCAATTTTTTTTCTGGACCACTTTCTACTCCTGCCTGCACAAATCCACTCTTGTTCATTTTTGTTTCCATCTTTCCTCTGCAGTCCCTTCAAGCATCACTTTGGACTGCAACTCGGCTCATCCCAGCCTGGTCCTCGTGGAAGAAGCCACCGGAGTCAAGTTCAGTCCCGGCCGACGCTTTTGGCGACGAAAGCCAGAGCGCTTCACCTCGAGCCTGTGTGTGGTGGGACGGAAAAGCATTACCACCGGGCGCTTCTACTGGGAGATCCTAGTCGGGGACAGCACCGGTTGGGTTGTGGGGACGGCCAAAAAGTCTGTGAAGCGCAAGAAGCGACTGAACTTTCTACCCAAGGAAGGCGTGTGGGCCATCGAGCTGAAGGCTGGAGAGTACCAAGCTCTGAGTGAACCCCGTACGCCCCTCTCGGTCTGCGGGAGGATGGAAAAAGTTGGGGTCTACCTGGACTTTGAAGGGGGGCAGCTCTCTTTTTACAACAGCAGCAGCATGACCCACCTTTACACCTTCCAAGAATGCTTCCATGAAGAGCTGCTCCCCTTTCTCAGCACCCAAAGCAGCTACCCCCTCTCGGTGTGGGATCTGGAGCTCTGAGATCTTAGCTCAGAGTGCCACATTGCAATGAACAGCCTGGTGAAGATATCTCAACAAGTTTTGGCTTACCTTGTCACCCTTTAATGCTCATCACCCTATAATGCTGTAGTAGGGCATTGCATGCCAAAACAACTAGGCACAAGGACTGTGGTTTCCCCCATGCCATCACTCTGCTAAACAACTAATTCCCACAACACTGTCTTATGCCCCTGGGATGTCAAACCACCTGGTAGGGCTGTATTACTATTATCCTTCTCAGCTTTCCTATTATCTATTCCTTTAACATCTTATGACTATAACTTTGTTGTTTGCATGTTATGATTGCTTTTACGTAGTATCCTATTATGATTTATGTTGATTATTTAGTATTTTATGAAAATCACTGAGTGTTGTATATTATGATTGATGATGATTGTATTTTATGATTATGATCATGATTTATCACTTGTTGCTTGTATGTACACTGAGAGCTTATGCACCAGAGACAAATTCCTTCTGTGTCCAATCACACTTGACCAATAAAGAATTCTGTTCTGTTCTATTCTATTCTATTCTACTCTACTCTACTCTACTCTACTCTACTCTACTCTACTCTACTCTACTCTACTCTACTCTAAATAAAGAATTCTTAATAAAGAATTATATTAAGGAAGCAAAAGCTGGACTTTAAGGAACCAGGACAGAAAGCATATTGACTCTTTTGAACTTTGGAGTTGGAGAAGATTCCTGAAAATACAAAGATATGGGTCATCTAACAAATTAACCCAGAGGTCTCACTCAAAAGAGTGACCAGGCTTGAATCATCCTATTTTGGACACATTATGCAAAGACCCAGATTTCTTGAGAAGTCCACAGTCCTTCCAAAGGTGGAAGAGGAAAAAAAATAATATCCAGCTGCAAAATAGATGGATCTGATTACAGTTGCAATTGGAATACCTGAAGGTATTACCTTTTTCAGAAGGTGATCTGAGAAAGATCAACGGTATCTATGTGGGTGCTGAGAGTTGACATCAGTATGATGTCACTTAACAGCAGCAGCAAAATGTTGGATCAGAGACCAGAAGAGAAAGAAATATCATTTGGGGCAAGAGGTGGAGATGGGGAAGAATATCTGAGGTTTCCTGAGAAAATACAAAGTTCTAAACACAATGGGAAGTAAATCTATTGAATTCAGTGGGCTTTGCTTCCGAGTCAACTTGTTTCAAACAGCTTTGGCTTTTCATCATGTCTTCCCTTTCAAAATAGACTCAAACTGAAAGGACTGAACGGAAAGTGGGAATAGGAATAAAATTAACAACTAAAAGCCACACACAACCAGGCACCATATAAATACAACACGTAGAACAGCCCAGTGCACACATTCGGGAGAGAAAGAAGTTTCCTGAGGATGGGCTCCAGCACAAGCTGGAAAACTTGGTAGAATAAACTTTGGTCCCTGTGACCAACTCGGGTTAGATCCTGCAACAGAAATATACTTTAAAGTAGTTCATGTGTTGTATATTTTTTTCACTTAATTCATTGCACTGTGAGTTCCTGCAAGAAATTATTTATTGCTGGGGTGATTTTGGAGTGGGTTCAGATCTCTTGTTAATATTGCTTCTGATGGCTTTTCTAAACAGTTCTTAAAAAGTCAAATTTCAATTAAAATCTTCCATAAAGGCCTATGTCAGTGATGGCGAACCTTTTAGAGACCGAGTGCCCAAACTGCAACCCAAAACCCATTTATGCATCGGTGGGTGTGACCCATTGGGTGGGTGTGGCCCATTGGCTGGGTGTGACTGCGGTGGTAACGGCAGACTGGGTGGGACTAAAGAGTTCAATCAATCAATTCCAACTTTGCAAGATCTGTTTTTCCCCACGAGAAATTGAAATTGGCTGATTGAACCTTTTTTTTTTTTTTTGCACACGGCGGCGAAGGTCTAAAGCAAAAAGGTTTTATAAAACCCAGCTGAAGGCCTAGGACTGGGGCGACGGCGCGCGTTCCCACAGAGAGAGCTTTGAGTGCCGCCTCTGGCACCCGTGCCATAGGTTCGCCACCACTGGCCTACAGTATGTTATTAGCAACTTTGGGGTTTATAAGAGGTTATTCTGGGCTGAATTCTCTGCAGTGACCCAAAATCCTGGTTTAAGTTTCTCTCAAATTCCAATCCAGTGAGATAAATCTCTCTCTTCTCCACCACCCTCCATGGCTGAAGAGTGATTCAGAGTGGTTTCTCTTGATAGAAGATATGCAAAGGTCTACCCTGTGTCAACGCTGCTAACATCGGATGTTCTTGCTTTGACAACAGATGGAAATGGAGCCATTTTACTCTTTTGCTTTTAGAGTAAGTTGATGCTGGGAGGGGAAATGTGGATGAGAGTCCAGCTAGTCGTAACAATAATAACTCAGCCCTGGGAATCCAAGGTTATTAGGTCCAGAGTTGATAGAAATTTGGCAGGCTGGAGAGCTGGGGAGAAAGCCCTCGCTTCAGGCTAATTGGGGAATGTGATTTATGACCGTTAATTGGAGGAGGGAATTGTGCTTTGCTACTTTGTGCCCAGGGGAGGGGAATTCAGTTTTTGGCTTTAACTATGTAGTGCCGATACTTTGTTTCTCGAATAAAAGATTCTTTAAGGTAAACAATGTCTCGAAGTTCTTTTGAAGAGTTTCATCTGTCGGAACCATGACACCCAGGCTCTAAATATGCTGAATTAAATGCTTATTTATTTATTTATGGGTACCAGGTTTTGGGATTCTCTAGGACCGTGGTGGCAAACCTATGACACGGGTGCCACAGGTGGCACGCAGAGCCCTCTCTGTGGGCACGTGCGCCATCGCCCCAGTCCTAGGCCTTCAGCTGGGTTTTATAAAACCTTTTCGCTTTAGTCCTCCGCCGCCATGTGGAAAACAAAAAGGTTCAATCAATCAATCAATTTCAGCTTCTCACAGGAAAAAAAAGATATCGCAAAGTTGGAATTGACTGATTGAAATTTTTAGTCCCACCCAGTCTGCCGTTACCACCAGAGCCACGCCCACCCAATGGGCCACACCCAGTCAATGGGCCACGCCCACCCAGCACCCGACGATACATACGTGGGTTTTGGGTTTCAGTTTGGGCACTCGGTCTCTAAAAGGTTCACCATCACTGCCCTAGGAAGAGGCCGAAATAGAAAGGAATGAGAACAGGATTGTTGATTTCTTCTAAGTCAAGTCTTCTGAAGGATTAGACCTGGATGGTTTGGAGGAACTCAACATTCCAGGAAATAAAACTTTTTTTAAATAAAAGTCCTGCTTGGAATTTCTAAAAGGAGAATTGGAGATTATGCTCCACCTCAATCTCCAAGTTGGGATTCTTGGATTTGGGAGTATAAAAGATGGGATTCAGCATTTTTTTTTAAATAGCTGGAAGTATTAGAGTGGGCTCTGACTAGCTAGCACAATTTCATTGCTTCTCAGTAACTGCTAGACATCTGTTTGATTAATTTTAGCCTCCTTTTCTCTCTCTCCAGGAACAAAAAAAAGGTTATATGGAGGAAATTTCCCTTACAGTGGAAAGCTTGTGAGGTAGGCTGGGTTGGAAGAGAACAACTGGCTGGCCCCTGGTTACCTGATGATCCATACAGATAATCTTCGACTTACGGCCACAATTGAGCTCAAAGTTTCTGTTGCTAAGCGAGACAGTTGTTAAGTGAATTTTGCCTCATTTTGCAACCTTTCTTGCCACAGTTGTTAAGTGAATCACTGCAGTTGTTAAGTTAATAACAGAGTTGTTATTAACTGCAAAGGGCGATCACACGATCCCAGGACACCACAACCATCATAAATACAGTACATGCCTGTTGCCAAGTGTCTAAATTTTGATCATGTGACCCTGGGGCAGCTGCAACAGTAGTGTGGAAAATGGCCACCATTCACTTTTTTCAGCGCTGTTGTAACTTCCAAAGGTCACTAAACAAAAAATTGTAAGTTGAGGACTATCCGTAATTACAAGGAAGGAACACTAGAAAAATATTCATGTGGGGGTGATACAACAGGAAAGGGAAAGGCAAAACGCCATGCACGGAATAACTACAGCTCTTGTTTCTCAACCCTGGCAGCTTTAAGATATGTGGACTTCATTTCCCAGAATCCCCCCGTGAGCAAGGAGAATTCTGGTGAAGGCTGGTTGGGGAATTCTGGGAGTTGAAATCCACATATCTTAAAGTTGCCCAAGTTGAGAAACAGTGAACAAGAGCCAAGTGCCTTTCTATTAGGTGAGGCTTTTCATGCAAATGAAGAAATCTGAAATAATAAGAATAAAAAGCTTTCCTGGAGATCCAGAGAAATATTATGTCAGCTGCCATCTTATGCTTGCTTGTGCTTCGCTACATTGTGGTGACAGACTGCCATGAACTGTGGGGGAGGGGGAGGGAGGGAGGCAAGAGAGAAAACGAAAGTAAGTTCTACAGGAAATCAGGGTGGGGAAAGGAAGTAAGTTATGCATCTCTTTGAGAGTCTGTTTCAATGTTATCAGGCATAGCAGCTGCATATCTTCCTGTACATGGACTGGCTGTTACTTCCTGCCTGAATTTAACTGGTCACAGGGGGTGGGTGATGGGAGGTAGGTAAGGGAGGGGAAGGCTAAACTTGGGGCTTTGGTCACACAGTTCTCAGTTCTGGCTACGCGCTACGGCAGTACACTTGACTTCTAATAAAGCCGTGCCTTTCTCAACAGATGGAGCCAAGGATGGTTTTTATTTAGAGGTTTAACTGCCAGCAGTTCTGACGCATTGAGGGGTTTCCCCACCCTGCAACTGGGCTGTGAGAATCACCTTGAGGAAGAGGAGAAAGAGACGCAGCCAAGGCAGCGGTGAGGTAAGAAATTTCTGTGTCCAAAATAGGAATGCAGTTTGAGAAAATGTCTCAGGGTTTTTATCCTTCTTGGTTCACTTTGGGATAAAGGCAGGGAACAGGGAGGCCCACTCAGACTCTGTTTCTGTAACCCTGTAAGAAAAGCAGTTCTGGTATTCATGACTTTGGTGTCCAAGTCTGATCTACTGTATCTGGGATGGCAGACACCCCTTTGCCTCAGGCTTCCAGTACTTGAGGGGCTGTCACAGAGGAGAAGGGTTCAACCTATTCTCCACAGCACCTGAGGGCAGGACAAGAAGTAATGGGTGGAAGGAAGCTTGTTAAAGAGAGAAGCAACCTGGAACTAAGGATAAATAACCTGTCACTGAGGACAATGTTTCAGTGGAACCAGCTGCCTCCAGAAGTTGTGAATGCCCCAACACTGGAGGTTTCTAAGAAGAGACCGGCCAGTCCTTTGTTTGAAATGATATAGGGTCTCCTGAACAGGGGGTTGGACTAGAAGACCTCCAAGGTCTCTTCCAACCCTATTATTTTATGTTATATGTTCACTCAACAGGCCGAAATAGAGGCAGTTTTATCTGGGAAACCTGTTCAGGCTGTCTTTGAATTGACCAATAATGGCTTCAGTACGAGAAGTGTCCAGTTTCACCGAAGACTTGCTGTGCCCCATTTGCCTCTCCCTCTTTCGGGACCCCCGCATGCTGACGTGCGGCCACAGCTTCTGCGCTCCCTGCCTGGAGCCCTGCATCCCCATGGGGCTTTGCCCCGAGTGCCGGCACCCCTTTGCTTTGCGTGACATGACCATCAACCGAGCCCTCTGCAGCTTGTCCGAGAAGGCCCGGCTCCTGAGGATGGATGAAGGGTACTTCTGTGAGGAACACAAGGAGCCCCTCAAGCTCTTCTGCAGCCAAGATGAGGAGCCCATCTGCGTCATTTGCCGGGACTTGCCTGAGCACCGGGGACACGACTTCCTGCCCACAAAAAATGCGGTTCAAACCTATCAGGTGAGAGCTGATCCTGGGAGGAGGAAAAAGGAGGCTTCTGGTTGAACAAGACACTAATCTCTCTCTCTCTCTCTCTCTCTCTCTCTCTCTCTCTCTCTCTCTCTCTCTCTCTCTCTCTCTCTCTCTCTCTCTCTCTCTCTCTCTCTCTCTCTCTCCCCCTCCCTCCCCCTCCCTCCCTCTCATTCTCTGTCTCAGTCTCAGTCTTTGTCTCTCCCTCCCTCCCTCCCTCTCTGTCTCATCTCTCATATTTCATCTCTCATTCTCTATCTCTCCACTCGAGATGGCTTATTTTGCAAGCCAAGATGAAATACAAGTAGAGTTCATATCATATATGAATCATAATAAGTATCATGATAAACAGGAACACTGAAATGGGGCTTTTTGAAACCTTCCAATATTTACCAGTAAATATAAGCTACATTTCCACTCTGAAACGCATGGAGAAACACTAATACTGTACTGAATCTGTAACTCACATACCGGATATGCAGTTCATCTCCCACTTCCTGAAGATTTGATCTATTAACCACCACCACTATTACTACTACTANCTTCTTCTTCTTCTTCTTCTTCTTCTTCTTCTTCTTCTTCTTCTTCTTCTTCTTCTTCTTCTTCTTCTTCTTCTGCCATATCTGTTATCGGATGTTGGCGATCATGTTGGCAATCCTGTTTTTCTCAGCAGCCGCACGAAAAAGTGCTGCTGAGTTTTGTCCAAACCAGTCCCTTAGATTTTGAAGCCACGATGTTCTTCTTCTGCCTGGACCTCGTTTGCCTTCAATCTTTCCCTGGAGGATTAAATGGAGTATGCCGTATTTTCCTGGGTGTCGCATCACATGTCCGAAATATTCTAATTTTTGTTTTTTAATTGTTTTGATGATTTCCCTTGGCTTTCCCAGACGGCTTATCACCTCCTCATTTCTGATCTTGTCAACCCAGCTTATACGTGACAGCCGCCTGTAAATCCACATTTCAAATGCTTCTAGTCTCTTCAGGTGGCCTTCTGTCAGAGACCAACTCTCTACTCCATAGAGCAGGATAGAAAAAAATATAGCATCTGACAAGCCTGATTTTTAGTCTTAGGCTTAACCACTAGGTGGCTGCAAAGTGTAAGAGATGACTGCTATTGGAGGGAAGAGTTTAGTTCTGGGAATTAGTTTGGGAGTGACAAACTAGCTTAAGGAGATTATATGAGGAGCAGCAGCATTGGGAAAGGAATTTCCCTCTAGGCAAGTTATAGGTTTACAAGAGAAAATACCTATCAATTACACTTCCAGTTGCATTAGCTAAGCCAGTGGTTCTCAACCTGTGGGTCGGGACCCCATTTGGGGTCAATCGACCATTTCACGGGGGTCGCCAAGCAAGGCTGTCTGCCATTTTTTTTGTCCGCCATTTTTCCCCCCTTTTCCGGTGGGTGCCTTACCTCCCTTGGGCTGGGCCAGCTGGTGGTCGGCCTGCTCCATCTCTGCCGCTTGCCAGCTACGCCTCGGCCGGCACAGGGGGCGGAACCACGCATGTGCGGCTCTCCCGGGCAGGGAAAGTCCTCGACTTACGACCGGTTGGGTAGTCCTCGGCTTCCAACCGGTTTAGTCCTCGACTTATGACCGGTTTAGTCCTCGACTTATGACCGGTTTAGTCCTCGACTTACAACCGGTTGGGGTCGCGGCATTAAAAAGGTTGAGAACCACTGAGCTAAGCCATTATGGACTGGTCAGTTTCAAGGCATACTCTAGGTCAGTGTTTTTCAACTTTAGTAACTGTGGACTTCAACTCCCAGAATTCCCCAGTCAGCAAGATTAAAGTTGCTGAAGTTGAGAAACACTTGGCTGATTATGCGCCATCAAGTTGTTTTCAGCTCCTGTTGACCACACAGAGAATGAATGCAGGAATGTAAGCCGTCTTCAGGGGAAATCTTCAAGAAATGTATGGCATTATTGCTACCCAGTCTTGTCTTTGAAAAGATGTTCAATCAATCAAATCTCTATTGCAGTCATGCACCAGCATAAGTCTAATGGGATACAAACCATAATTTTTAAAAAAGCTAAAAAGCATAAAAAGGAAAACCTGTACAAAGACCATATACTTAAAAAAAGCTGAAAGCAAAAAGTCTAAAAAAGTTCTATCCGCAAAAAGAAATACATTAAATAAATGCAGGGGAACATCAAAAATTAATATAATGGTAACTAAATCTATCACAGTCAGAAACACTCTTAACTAACAAATTAAATGCTCATTAAGGCTGGTTGGGGAACAGATTTTAAGCGCTGTTGAGCAGAACCTGGCAACCCAAATGTTATATAGCAGCATTAGCGTCTGCAAGCAGCAGGGAGGTATAAAATTGTCCTGGGATCAATCAAATGATGGTGTTCAATTTAAGTCAGACCCGAATTTTCTCTTCCCTTCAGGACCAGCTGAAAGCATTTCTGGAGCCTCTTGAGGAAGATCTCAGACGGTTGAAAAGGAGTCAGTGTCACCAGCAGGAGAACATTATCGAATTAAAGGTGCAGCTGGGAAGTGGTGCTGATCGGATTTTCTGTTTAACGTTAAACTGAGTGTATCCCCTCTCTCTTTATCCCAGCAACTATTTGTAGCTCAGTGGTTTAATATTAGATGTGGGATGCTCAGCATTTAATCCAGGCTCCTGCAATTCAGTCTAAAGAAAAGAAAAGCTACCTGCTTGCTTGACATTGAGAGCATTCAAAAATAAATACAAATGTTGTAGTGTGGCATTCAAGTGACCGAAGTTGTCAGCCATGCATTTTTCAGGATATTCCATCTGTTCCCTTTTCCCCTGGGATTCTCAATTTAGTTTTAAACACTTTGAAGCATTGTGGTGCTCTAAGCTGCCACAAAAGACACTCTTATAATTAGAACTTTGTGTACTGATAGATGGGAATATTTGACATGAGGGGTCCTTGGTGCTTTCTGAGCTTAGTTGTTTTCTTGCAGATGTTTCACTACTCAACTAGGTAACATCATCAGTGCTAATAGGGAGTGGGCTTTGCCCTCTGTTCTAGCACTAATGATATTACCTAGTTTGGCAATGAAATATCTTTAAGAAAAACAATCAAGCTCAGAGTGTACCAAGGACCCCACAGAGCTATATGTGTGTGTGTGTGTGTACATGTGTTTGTGTGTACGTAAATAAATGGAACTTTTTGTGTATGTATGTACGTATGTGTGTATATGTGTGTTGTCACTACATTATAATAGAGGCAAAAGATTTAAATTGCTGGTTTTGCTTAGGTAATCATCATTGTGGCATCGATCGATCGATTGATTATGAGTTACCTGACAGTGAAATGGGTGGCATATAAATTTAATAAACAAAATAAATTATACGCTATGAAGTAGTTTTTAACCCCTAGAAAAACGGAGTTTCTCCATGACAATTTATCCCTAACCTGGTTTTTCAGATCTTCCAATGGTGTCCCCATTGCCACTGTAACTATGTCCACCATCTTGGCTTTTGTTCTTCCTCATCTTCTCTTTCTTTCCATCTTTCCTAGTATTAGAGCCTCCATCAGAAAGTCAGGTCTTTGCATCGCATGCCTGAAGTAGTATGTTTGAGTCATTAGTGCTTCAAATAAGAACTCAAATGAGTTAATTTGTTTAATGGTCCAATGGATTTTTTTTTCATGGCTAGCTAAGGTAGTCTCAGGAGTCTTCTCCAAAACCAACACCATTGTAACAGGTGATCATTTCTGTTTGACCAAACCATAATCTTTTGCTGTGGTCCATTTATGTTTTTCCAGACGTGTTCCGAATCCTTGTCTGATCATGTCTCTGGAGAGTTTGTGAAGATGCACCAGCTGCTGAATGACAGAGAGCTGGGTATAAAGCAGGCCTTAGAAAACCAGCGAGAAAAGAACTTGGCTCAGATGGAAACCAAGTTAAAGGAACTGGACTGGAAGATGGCCTCATGTTCAGAAACTCTGTGTTGCATACAGGCCGGCCTTGAATGCAAAGATCACATAAGTTTCCTTAAGGTAAGGAGAACCGTGGGCTGTGGGGTTTTCTTGGGAAGAAAAAAAAAATGCTGAATGCATGGATTTGTACCAAACAATTGTTAGAAGAATAATCTGGGGGGTCCAACTCAAGCCGGTGTTGCAATGTAAATTATTGTAAATAAAAATGAGTTCCAGACAACTATGAGGAAAGAATAAATATTTATTCTTAAAACCAAAAGAAGGGGCAGGCTGCAAAGAAATGGAGTACAGTGGCAAAGTTTTATAGGGGGAAGCTTGTCCAGGATGTGGAAGTGTTTACGTGTTAAGGTGTGTGCTTGTTCTTGTGAACATACAGTTCTGCTGGGAGACTTAGTTTAATTAACACTATTTGTGTTTACAGACCTTATCTTCTGATAGGTGGATTAGGTCTAGGTAACTTATTCTGGGATTTGAGGAAGTTTGCTAGTTGGATTAACTTGGGGACACTGATTCTCAGACCATTGTGGATTCTGTTAATATTTTAAGGGAAGATGGAAATAGTATAAAGAATAAAATATATTTGTCTGAAATGGTATGGGGTTTCCTGCCTGAGCAGGTGTTGGACTAGATGATCTCCAAGGTCCCTCCCAACATTATTATTATTGTTATTGTTGTTATTACATTTGAATATAAAACGTCTCGCACCATGATTTGTTCAATCAGTGTTTGTCACGACTGATAAAATCTCTGTGGGTTTTTTTAATCTTCGTAAGCCACCCATAATCACTGAGAGTGAGTTGGGTGGCTAAATAGATTTTCTTAAACAAATAAAATAAGCTAGACTGACTTTCTATAACAATTGCTAGATTCCATAGTGTTTGTTCATGTAAAAGTGAGATCTATCAGTACATGCGCCTTCATCACCTCAGATTGTCAGTGGCATATCAAGCACTGTGATTCTGCAGCAGGCATGCCAAACACACGGCCCGCAGGCCGGATGCGGCCCACACAGGCCACGCCCACCCCGGCCCCTCAAGGGCAAAACAAATCACGATACATCGTGATTCAGCCCACGATGCGATCAGGTTTGACACTCCTGCTCTACAGTCCTCAATTTTTGTTTCTTCTTTCTATGTTGTGATAGTATTTCACTGGGATTACTTTTTCCTGATAATAAACTAGGGCAGGATCTACTGAGAGCAGAATCTATTGTGTACCATTAAAATGCAGGACGCTTTGACAGGAAAGTGGGTGATAACCCACTGACAGAATTATTTTGATGGTTCTCTCACTTTTCTTTTTTTCTTTCCTTCCTTCCTTCTCTCTCCCTCCTTCCCTCCCATAGGAGGCAAAAGAGTTGCTAGAGAGGTAAGCGGTGTTTCTCTTTTCTTATACAGGTAGCTGTCGAGCTACAGCCACAGTTAGGACCAAAATTTCCACTGATAAGGAAGGTGGTTGTTAAAATGTCACCCCTGATTTTATGATCTTTTTTTTTGCCGCGGTTGTTAAGTGAACCACTGCAGTCGTTAAGCAAATCCAGCCTCCCCCATTGAGTTTGCTTGCATGCGACCCCCCAAACACGGCAACTATTGTAAATGCCTGTTGGTTGCCAAGCACCTGTACCTTGATCACAACCATCTGGATGGTACAACGTTTGTAAATATGAGGACCGGTTGTAAATCACTCTTTTCAAGGGTCTCTCAATGAATGGCTGTTAAGTGGAAGATTACCTACATAATAAATGTATGAAAGGAAGAAAAGGATGAATCAGCAGGGAGGGCTGACCCTGCAGGCTACATCAGTGTGCCTGCAAAGACAAATAGGCATGGGGATGGCTTGCCAGCCGAGTAGAAAAAGGGCAGCTGGACTTCCTCTTCCACCTTTCAGAAGCTGCTGGATTTGCCAAAATGAGTAGGTGAAGCTCCTCCACGAATGGAAGTGAAGGTGGTTACCTGTTTACTTCCATTGAAAAGCTCTGCTACAATTATAAAGTTGGGTCCTCTTCCTTCTTGGGAGCAGAGGCAAAACAATGTTGATTTAGCCAAAGAGTTTAATGAGTTCATTGTTCTTCTGGCCCAAATCACTTCTAAAATCACTTCTAAAATCTCTGTAAAACTAGTAAAACATCACCACTTTTGATGGTGACCTGGTCATTTTCTTGGCAACAGTATGGCCATCACCTTCTCCTGGTTTTTGCAGCTCCCCTGGGAAATATTAATCGGATCTGAATCTACTTACCTTTTTGGGAAATAATCCTGTCTTGGCTTTGTGCTGTTCTCTGCTGTGATTATTTTAAAAAATGCATGCATGCTTATAATAAAACCTAATTTATGGAGCAGAAGACATACCCAGGTGTAATTGTCTTCCAATTCTAATCCTCCCATTTTCAGCCAATATTTTTCATGCTGTTTTTCCTTATTGCATAAAATCCACTAAAGAGGTGAAAGAAAAAAAGTGGCAGCATTTTTTGGGGGGGACAGTAGTACTCAGATATCTCTCTGTAGAAGGACCCAGATGTGATTCCTCTAGGTTTGATAGAATTGGGACAGCTTATTCTAAAATGATTGACCCTTTTGGGATGCCCTTCTTCTACAGGTTAAGTAAGGAACAACCTGATGAACCTGAACTAGGTGCCAAACTAGTAGGAAAAGATGGGTTGCGGGCCAGCAATGACGACACCAGCAATGACGACACAGATGAATTTGTCAATGAGGTTGATCGGTTAATGAGAGATGCCGAAGATAGTGATGAGGAAGAAGACAGGGAACTAAAAAAGTTTGTCCCTTTTGGGATGCCCTTCCCCAGGGTAAGTAAGGAACAACCTGATGAACCTGAACTAGGTGCCAAACTAGTAGGAGAAGATGGGCTGGGGGCCAGCAATGACGACACCAGCAATGACGACACAGATGAATTTGTGAATGAGGTTGATCGGTTGATGAGAGATGCTGAAGATGATGATGAGGAAGAGGAGGAAGAGGGTGAACAAGAGGAAGAACCAGAGACTGCAGCAGGAGAAGAGGAGAAGGAAGAGGATGAAGATGGAGTGGTGGCTGTAGACTTGAACGTGGGCGAGTTTAAAGGACCTCTGCAATTCTGCGCCTGGAAGCAGCTCCTGGGTGCGGTCCATCCAGGTGAGATGAGGTTTTTAGACCAAATGAATTGGTATTGATGTATTACTTTTACACCCTACCTTAAAGGGTCTTTGATGCTCTCCGAGCTTGGTTGTTTTCTTGCAGATATTTCATTACCCAAACTAGGTAACATCATCAGCGCTAGTTTGGGTTATGGAATGTCTGCAAGAAAACAAGCAAGCTCAGAGTGCACCAAGGACCCCTCATTTCAACCCTGAGCTACAAATATTCTCCTTTATTGACCCCTTACCTTTTATCTGGAAGTTCAAGGCTATGTACCTCCACAGCAATAACCCTGTAACGTGATGAAGTTGATGATATTATCCATTCAGTCATGTCTGACTCTTGGCGATTCTATGGGCCAGATCTCTCCACATCTTCCAATCTTGCAGTGCTTCTTTGAGTTTTTCTGTACTCTGGCTGGTGTCAGCTTTGACGGTGTCCAGCCATCGTGTTCTTTGGCTTTGGCTTTTCATTTTACCACTAACTCTTCCAAACATAATTGCTTAATTGCTGTAATCACCCCATAACATATAATTACCCTGTAATGTAATTTGGGCTAAAACAGAGAAAAGAAGCTTCAGAAATATTGAGGATGGCAGTAGCTCTATTAAAAGATGGCTAATAGACATTCATTTGTATCTAATTTTTTTTCTGGACCACTTTATACTCCTGCAATAGTTGGCATTCTTGTTATTTCTTAATTCTTTCCATCTTCCCTCTGCAGTCCCTGCAAGCTTAACTTTGGACTACAACTTAGCTTGTCCCAGCCTGGTCCAATTGAAAGAAGCCACCGGAGTCACGTTCAGTCCCAACCAATGCTTCAGCCGACAAAAGTCAAAGTGCTTCACCTCAAGCCTGTGTGTGATGGGATGGAAAGGAATTACCACTGGGTGCTTCTACTGGGAGATCGAAGTCGGGGACAGTACCGGTTGGGTGGTGGGGATGGCCAAAAAGTCTGTGAAGCGCAAGAAGCGGCTGAACGTTCTACCCAAGGAAGGTGTGTGGGCCATTGAGCTGAAGGCTGGAGAGTACCAAGCTCTGAGTGAACCCTGTACGCCCCTCTTGGTCTGCGGGAGGATGGAAAAAGTTGGGGTCTACCTGGACTTTGAAGGGGGGCATCTCTATTTTTACAACGGCAACAGCATGACCCATCTTTACACCTTCCAAGAATGCTTCCATGAAGAGCTGCTCCCCTTTCTCAGCACCCAAAGCAGCTACCCCCTCTCGGTGTGGAATCTGGTGCTTTGAGATCATAGTTCAGAGTGCTGCATTGCGATGAACAGCCTGGTGAAAATTGAAACCATTGAGATGTGCTAGAATGGATCTTTTCTTAGCAGTAGCAATAGACTTATATACCACGCCATAATGCTTTACAGTACTCTCTGGGCAGTTTACAACATCAGCATATTGCCCCCAACAATCTGGGTCTTCATTTTATGGACCTGGAAGGATGGAAGACCGAGTCAACCTTGAGCCCAACCCATCAGGATTGAACTCCAGGCTGTGGGCAGAGTTTGCCTGCAATACTGCATTCTAACCACCGAGCCACCAGGGCTCCTTCAAGAGACAATCCAATCTATTCAGCCTTTGCAAACAGTTGCTGAAAGATTCGAAATTGGTGCTGACCTGACTATTGCGGTCCATGATGATTGCTCTAGGCGCAGAGAGTTCTATAAGTCCAGCTTTCAACTTGACCTTCTATTTGTGCTTACTTTTCTTGACCCATTGACAGTAGTGAGGAAAGAGGTTGCCTCTGTCCACCTGTGGTGTAAGATTTTACCTGCTTTCAATGAATTCCACTGCAGGTAAAAACAATGACAGCAAGCCGTACTTCCTATCCTTGGTTGGGAAGGTCTTAGTAGGGATATTCAAATATTCAAATACTGGGTTGTGTTTATATCTCAACAAGTTTTGGTTTACCTCATCATCCTTTAATACCCATCACCCTATAATGCTGTAGTAGGGCATTGCATGCCAAAACAACTAGGCACAAGGACTGTTGTTTCCCCCATGCCATCACTCTGCTAAACAACTAATTCCCACAACGCTGTCTTATGCCCCTGGGATGTCAAACCACCTGGTAGGGCTGTATTACTATTGTCCTTCTCAGCTTTCCTATTATCTATTCCTTTAACATCTTATGACTATAACTTTGTTGTTTGCATCTTATGATTTATCTTGATTGCTTTTATGTAGTATCCTATTATGATTTATGTTGATTGGTTATTTAGTATCATGACAATCACTGAGTGTTGTATATTATGATTTATGATGATTGCATTTTATGATTATGATCATGATTTATCACTTGTTGCTTGTATGTACACTGAGAGTTTATGCACCAGAGACAACTTCCTTATGTGTCCAATCACACTTGACCAATAAAGAATTCTATTCCGTTCCATTCCGTTCCATTCTCCATTCCATTCCGTTTTCCATTCCATTCCATTTTCCATTCCATTCCATTCCATTCCATTCCATTCCATTCTATTCTATTCTATTCTATTCTATTCTATTCTATTCTATTCTATTCTATTCTAAACTAGCTGTACCCGGCCACGCGTTGCTGTGGCTCAGTCTGGTTAAATGGAAAAGAAAGAAAAGAGAAAGCGCACGTTTGTAATATGTTTAATTTCACAATGCTAGCATGTGTTGCTTTTACGTCCAACAGATGGCACTGTTTTTTAAAAAAAGCAAGTTTTTACCTGTCACAGGTGTGACATCTATATAATAGTAGGTATATAAAAACACGCATGTATTTGAATGCAATGTTGTGTCAAAATTTCAAAGCAATCGGTGAAGAACTTTCGGAGATTTAAGGTTTTGAACAAACAAACACTTACATTTTTATTTATATAGATAAAGAATTCTTAATAAAGAATTATATTAAGGAAGCAAAAAGCTGGACTTTAAGGAACCAGGACAGAAAGCATATTGACTCTTTTGAACTTTGGAGTTGGAGAAGATTCCTGAAAATACAAAGATATGGGTCATCTAACAAATTAACCCAGAGTTCTCACTCAAAAGAGTGACCAGGCTTGAATTATCATATTTTGGACACATTTTACAAAGACCCAGATTTCTTGAGAAGTCCACAGTCCTTCCAAAGGTGGAAGAGGGAAAAAAATAATATCCAGATGCAAAATAGATGGATCTGATTACAGTGGCAATGGGAATATTATTGGAATACCTGAAGGTATTACCTTTTTCAGAAGGTGATCTGAGGAAGATCTACAGTATCTATGTGGGTGCTGAGAGTTGACACCAATTTGATGTCACTTAACAGCAGCAGCAAAATGCTGGATCAGAGACCAGAACAGAAAGAAGTATGAAAAAATGTATATACCATGTGCCAAGAAGCCCATTTTTAAAAATTAATTATTGATTTTGCATACTCCGTTTGGGGAGAGGGGTATATATTTTGCTTTACCTGTGTGTTCCGAATAGCTGTATAGAGATTTCCTCCATCCCCTCCACTTTGCTTGCATCAGAATATCTTGACAAAAAGTGGCAGTGGGGTCTTGCAGTTGAATTATCCAGCCTGATTTCTCCCCGTGTCTGCCATTCTCACTCATCTTGGAAATATTTCAGTTTGTACCAATAAATGCCTTGGTTTGCCATGCATGCTCCAGTAGTCTTCTGCCAAACTCCCCATGTCACCTTAGGGAAAATTAAGATCCATCTATCTATTTTTTCCTATCCTCAGCCATCATATTTAGAATATTGCTTTCGCTGGGCAAGTCACTGTATTCCTTACCTGCAATGCTCAATGCTCAAATGACACCTTTCAGCACCCATAAACAATAGCTGCACGGGAACGGAGAATTGGTTAAGCTCCTAAATCTGGAAGAGCCGTGGTGGCGCAGTGGTTAGAATGCAGTATTGCAGGCTAATTCTGCTGACTGCCAGCCAGCTGCCTGCAGTTCGATTCTGACCAGGTTGACTCAATCTTTCATCCTTTGGAGGTCGGTAAAAATTATTGGGGGCAATATGCTGACTCTTTAAACCACTTAGAGAGGGCTGTAAAGCACTGTGAAGCGGCATATAAGTCTAAGTTCTATTGCTATTGCTATCTCTATTTGATGTTGGACATGTGCTGGATCAGTTGGCACTCAACTTTCAATGATTGCAGTTATTCCCAATCTCTACTTCAAATTAAACTGTTTATTGCTTAATGTAAGCTGTCAGCCAAATCCCAGTCCCACTTGGAACTTCTTTTCGGAGTGGATCTATAACAGGGGTATCAAACTGCTGGCCCACGGGCCGGATGCATCACAATGAAACCACGCCCACCCCATGGCTGGCAATGGGGAAAAAGCTCCGATACATCGCATGATGTCATGTGACGTCGCGATTTTGACATGTCTGATCTATAGGAAGAGGATCAAGATGGTATTAGTGCAGTGTTTCTCAACCTTAGTAACTCTAAGAGCGTGGACTTCAACTCTCAGAATTCCTCAGTCAGCGTGCTTAATCTCAATCTTAAGAGTTGTCAAGATCGAGAAATACTGATTTACACCTGTCATTTTCCTCCTGGTGCCCTACTTTTGAGGTTGTTGGTTTTCAGACTAGGTTGGCTGATTCATTTTTTAAAAGAAACATTTGTAAGTCACCCAACTCCCAACATCTATAGACTGCTCATAAGTAAAAACAAGGAAAAGAATGCAATAACAGACAGATATGAAGAAAGAAGATGGCAAGAATAAAAAAAAAGCTCTGAAGAGGAATGAAATAGAAATGAAACCACATAATCCAAAGGGGACATAATTCTTCCTTGCCAAAACCTGGGTCAAGGGCCAGGTCTTCATGGCCCTCCTAAACCACAGTGGAATGGGGGTGTCAGAACCCATATTATTAAAGGGGCTCTTTCTAATTCTATTCCTTCTCTTATTCTGGGTTCTGTCATACTCCTGGAAGGGAGGGGGGAAAGACACTGCGGGCTGTCTCTTTGTTTCTCACTATCCCTCCAATGTAACCCTTTTCGCTGTTCTGAATACTTGCTCTTTGAACTGTCCCTTGATGTCAGCTTGCTGGGGCGGGGGGGGGGGAAAGAATGTGCCTCTGGCTAATCTCCTGTTTCAGAAGGGAAGGTGTGAAGACCCAACAAATATCACTACAAGCCTGAGACAGACTGGCAGTATCAGCTCTTTCCCACAACGGACTTAACACCTGGGGATTGGCCCATTTGAACTGACCGGATGAACTATTGGGGAGGGGTTTGCTTGGGCCTCCTTTAACCTATTGATCTGAGTGGGAAATCCTCAGACCCTGTCTATTATGCCTACGATCAGCTTCTCCTAATAAAAGTTCCTTTTGGAAGAGACCGCTTCCATGAGTTCTGCTCTCTTGGGATGAGGTGTTGAAGTGGGCCCTGACAGGGGGCCACCTGAATCTTGGGCCCCATCCACTGATTGTGTTCAACAGACCCTCAACTGCCATCGGTCAAGGATATTTTAATCTGGATTCCTACCTGACCAAAAGGTCCTGGCTAACTCCTCATGGATTCTAAGGTGGTTTGGCCCTCGATTACTATGAAATCAATCTGGATTGACACTGATAGCCCTGCATCAAATTTGTCTGAGCAACAAGCATCAAACAAGCGTTCACTGTCCAGTCTTGAAATCAGTTTGGTTTAGAACTCTTTATTAATTACAACCTCGGAACAAATGAACCAAAAACCAGAATTTGAGCAGGACAACAGTCAGGAGATATTTACAAGCTGTAGATTCAGAGCAAATGAACGCCAGGTCACATTGGTGTCACTTCTTTAGTGAATGGGGAAGAAAGGCAGAGTTTCAGTCATGGACGGGCACTGGTGTCCAAGGGAGGGATGACATGCTGGATCAGCTGGTTAGCGGTCTGCTCTTCTTCAGAGGCCCCCATGCGACTGCGGGCTTTGATCAGCCAGTCCCACAGTATTCCCAGTCCCACCAGGAACATGGCGCCAGGGATCAGCAAGACGATCCGATAAAGAAATAAAGGCTCTAGTAGTGAAAAAAAGCATCAAGAGAAGGAGAAGTCGTCTCAGCCATAATGTGTGACAATTCAGATTTCTGAGTACATAGCAAGATGCAAAATTGTTCTATAAAGCTGAATTATCTCCCCCCCCCTCCAGAATAATCTCTGTGGGTGGGAGTTAAGTGTGCTTTACTGGGTATGTTTGAGGGTAAAGATGCTTAGGATCATGCTGTGGATGCCAAATCTCCCTGCACAACCAAACATATTGGTTATGTGTTCCCAGAAAAGGAATCCTGCAGATCAGGAAGCAAAGGGATGTAAGGTTTAAGGAAGTACAATATTGCGGGCCCAACTGGCAAAAGAAAGCTCAGGACCATAATACTT